ATGTAGAAATATTAATATTAAAATATGTATCGTGTTTATAAACGAAAAAGCAAGTAATGAAAAGTATATTTTTGTAACTGTGAGTACACAGAAAAAAGTTTAGAAAAATATACACCAAATATATTTTGCTGAATTCTCTAAAATGTTTTGTAAGACGTTTGACTTCATCAGATCAAGTAATAACAATGTTTCCATTTGGGAAAGCCCTCTCACGCCTGGGGGCCCTTTCTTCAGGAAGCCTGCCCTGGTCCTCCTTCCCCCATTCCCCAGCTGAGGGACTCCCATCCAGCTCTGTTCTCACTGTGCACTAACTGGCGGGTGCCTGCGTCCTCGGCTGGCTAACGAGCTCTGTAAGAGCCCATTATGACAGATTTTTCTCAGGTCCGCAGGTCCTGGCACATATTAAGTGCTCAACAAATGCTGCTACATGAATGAACGAATGACCCTTTCTGTCATGTTTCTGTGAATGATCGGTGAACTAAACGGAATGCCCTAGGTCTGTCCGCTCTCACCCAGCCAGAACGGAAGGTGAGGAGGAAAAAGCCTGAGAGTGGGAGTTCGATCCGAACTTCTGTCCTTGAGGCTCAGCAGCTCTGTGGCCCCAGGCAAGTTATGTCGCCTTGTGGCACTTTGGCCTCGTGTCTGAAACGTGAACGGTCGCGCCTCCCCCAAGGACTGCGTGCCAAGCAAGAAAGCACACATCAAGGATTTAGCAGAGCGAGCGGCGGTACTCAGTAGGTGCTCAAAAATAGAGGCAAATAGTTGGGCAGTGAACACCACTTCCCACGCGTTTGTCCAAGGCTCAGATGCGCCATCGGAAGGTTGTGGACATGGGAAGCCCGGCGACGCTGAGCAGCCTCCTCGCTAGCGCTTGCCCTGGGGACACCAGGGCCTGACCTAGCGCAGAGCAGCGGCCGCCGGGCTCCGCGTTGGGGCTCCCGCTGCATACGCAGCGCCAGTGCCCGCTCTGGCCCACCTGCAGCGAGCTCCTCGCCCGCTCCTTCAAGGGGGGTCCAGGGTCCAGGAAGAAGCTGGCCACCGGCTGGTCTGCGGCTGGCGGGCGCGGAAGGGGGCCTCAGGCCAGGCACTGGAACGGTGCGGACCTGGCGTTGGATGAGGGTACTGCGGGTTTGAATTTTGCTCTATTCAGCACGAATTGTGACACGTAGGGCAAGTCTCTGAGTCTCTTTTCTCACCTGACAAGTGGGATAATCAGACCCGCCTCGCAGAGGCTGGTGCGTCTGCAGTAAGACGCTGCAGAGCAAGCGCAAGGCGCAGGGCCTCTCCCAGCAAGAGCGCCTGAGAAACCCGGCGCCAGGACGGGAGAGGCTCTTTCTGGCTCCGAAATTGTGCCGGGTCCCTGGCCCTGGCCTAGGCCAGATCTGTGGCTTGACCACAGAAAAGGGCCATTTTAGCGGGATCAGGGGATGGGAACAGCAAACCAGGCTGCGCTTCTCCCTGCCCGTCGGGGGTGCGCGCGGCTGTGGGTCTTAATCAGTAGTATAATGTCTTTATGTGTCTCTGTGTGTGTACACGTGTGTGCGCGTGCGTGTGTGCACACGTATGAACAGGAGCGTCTGTAGTTGTGCGGGAAAACGCGTGTTGGGCAGCCGGCGGGGCCTCCTTCTCCCAAAGGCGCCTTCCCTCTTTTCTCCGCGCGCACTTCCCGGGCGCAGTATCAGCCAAACTAACGGAATCCGGCATGGCCAGGGAAGGGTGGGCACGGGAGGGGCCATTCCGTCCTGGAGCCACCGGTTTGGGGATAATTACTTTTAATGTCAGAAAGATTTAGTTTAATATCATCTCTATTAGGCTGCCGGGAGGGTAATTAAACGGAACGCGTCGCAGCCGGCAAACAGATGGCGCCTGCTTGCTCCGAGGCCGCGGGCAAACAGCGCAAAAGTCATCGCCTCCCGAGTCTCCCATCGGCGCCCCAGGCCCTTCTCCTACTTGGTGCCACGGAATCGTCCCCCACGGCCTTCCCTAGGCTGCACCTCCAACCCTCTCCGCGCCCTCGGGCCTCAACCGCAGCCTCCCCGCGTCTCCACTCGGACAGTCCCTCTGGACCCCAATGAAGCGTGGGCGTGGGCGTGGGGGCGGGGGCCGTGTGCAATAGGGGTAACAGCGAATCTTCTTGGCGGGGCGCTCTCACCCTGAGCCCCAGCCCCAGGCACAGCAGAGGCGTCAGCAAGTGATTCTGAGCTAAGAGAGCGTGTGTCTGGGTGTGAATGTGTGAGGACGGGCTCTCCACACACAGCCACCTCATTTGTCCCCAAGACTATGGCTTTCTCTACCAGGCCCCCACCATAGGAGTAGGGCTGGGGCTCCGTGGATGCGCGAGGGCATAGTGCGTGAGGATGTGTTTGTGTCTGGGTGTGTAGTCACCGGGTGGGAGTCTGTGGAAATCTGTGTGAGGTCACACGCCAAGTGGATGTCCTAGGATGGGGGCATGCTTATGGGAGGCTGTGAGGCCAAAGTTTGTGAATGGGTCCTGTGGGTGGGAGGGCAGCATCAGAGGTGAGTGTGCGCCCAGTAGGCTCTCACTGCATGCGAGTGTGAGGGTGTGTCCAAAACTTTTGGAGGGTGAGGTCACCCGTGTAGGGCTGTGTGTCCAGTTTGAAGCTACACTCAAGCTGGGAAGGGAAGAGCCCCTGCGGCCTCAACCTGGCCATGCTTTTCCTAGGGCTGGCGGCTCAGCGGCACCACCGCCCTCCCTCCCTCTCCCGCGCCGACCGCAGCGCAAATCAGGAGGAACTAGCCCCAGAGTGGTCTGCGGAGCTAGGCAGAGTATCCCTGCCCTGTCGAGGTGCGGTGACCTTGGCCTAGAACGAGTTTACTCTGCCTCCCTCCGTAACACATATACTCACATTAGCACCATAACCTCGGGGGCTGGGAGAAAAGTTTGTGGGTTCCACAAACTGTGGGGATGTGAACTCAAGGAAAGGGGAGCGAGAGAAGAGAGAGGCGCCTAAACTAGGGGTGGACAAATTCCCTCTGGTTGGGGTCGATTGGGCTCCAAGATGCTCCTCCTCCCCCTCCTAAGAAAATGAGGTTCCTCAGACATCCGTGGGAGAGTCTTGGGTTCTCAAGTTTCCGTGGCTGGACCCTTGGCTCCGGCGGTTTCACCCGGACTGGATTGGGGGAATCTCGCGGTGGCCTAGCCTCCAGCGCAAAGAAGGATACCTGGGCCACTGCCCCCACCCCCACCCAAAGTAGGCAGATTTTTACAGTTTATTTCGTTTGGGGTTTAAAATAATTTCCAGAAAACTTTGTGCAAATCAGCTCTGGGAGCAGACGCCTGGAGGCCCCCCCCTGCATAATCCGGCCATGGTCGGTGCTCTCCCCCCCATCCCCCCCCAGGGTGCAGTTCTCCGTTCATTTACTTGGCAATATAACCTCCAGGTGTTGGAAGATGAGGTCTGAGTCCTGCGCTCCTGGAGAATATATTATCCCTGACCACTCTCTTACCCTCACTCCATGTGGGAGACCCTCGCGGGAGCTGACCCTTTTCTCTCTCCCAAGCCCATTCTCAGGCTCCAGCGAGTGGAACTTCTTGGGAGCCAGCGACCAGGTTTCTGTCGCTATCACAGACTCTGTCCAAGTCTGAGTACCCGGGCGCCCGGCCTGGTCAGCTATCTGGAAGCTTTGTGCCGGGTTCTTTCGCACATCACTCCCACCCCCACGCCCCTTCCAACCTCATCTCGGTGTTGGCTTCTTCCAGGGGAGTGTGTCATGGCTCTCCCCGGACGCTAAGTTCTGCGGTCTGCGGTCTGGGCCCTGCGGATCGCGCCTCCCTCGCCCGAGTCCCCAGCCCCAGGGGTCAGACGCGGCTGGACTGACAGGGTGCGGCCCAGTAGTCGCGCCACGCGGGAGGAGATGCGTCCGGAGGCCGCGATGCCCCGGCAGAGCCTGCGCGCCTAGGAAGTCCGCGCGCTGGACCGCGCGGCCCAGAACCCTGCCGCCCTGGAGGTTCAACGGAGGAACGCGGAAACGCGCTGTTTGGAGTGGAGGGAGAACGGCGGGAAAGCCCATTTTTTTCATTATTTAAACGAATTTTCTTTACTCCGAAGGAGAGGGAGAAAAGTAGAGAATAAAAACCAGAGTGCTAGAACATTAGAGGGAAAAGACAGAAAAGGCGCAGAGATAGGATCAGAGCAAGAGAAATTGAGGGCGACCCCGCCCCGACAACCGCAGCGTTAATTCCAGATGTTGCCATTCAAAAGGGAAACAAAATCCGAAACCTGTTACCTCCTTTGCAGAACGAGCTGTTCCTCAGGGCCTTGACGTCAGGACAGGGAGAGTAAGGCGAAAGTTAAAACTATTTCTGGGGTGAAAGTTAAGACAGTTCCGGGGGACCCCCCTCAGCGACCTCGTCTCCCGCCGGGTAGGACGGACAGACGGATGAGCGTCTTGTGTCCAAGAGGATCTGGGGAGACACAGAGGCCACTTTTTACTTTCGTTTAAAAAAGATAAAAACAAACTTCGTTAATTTAAAACGACAACGACAAAGAATTCCACCACTACGGAAAAGAAATCGAGATGCTGGAGAGATAAGGAAAGGAAAGAGCAAAACGGGCATCTGGACGGGAAAGAGGGGCGGGGAGAGGAAAGGCGCAGAGCCAACGACTCGGCAGGCACCGACCAGAAGTGCAATCTCATTTCTCCTCTCTGGGCTCCTCTTTATAAACGAAAATCCTCATACACTACACTTACCCTCCGTGATGCCTATCTTATCAAGACTTTTTAAAATAAAGAAACTTAACTTGAAAGGCGGCAGGGGAATAAACAAAGCAGCCCCTAACTACCCCAAACTCGTCGGACTTGGGAGCACGCCGAAACAGAGCCGAAAGGAGGCAGGAAAACCCGTCTTGGCATTTATGCCAGGATCACCTTCCCTTCCCCACCCCCGCGCCCCCGTTCCGCCCCCACCCGACCGCGGTAATTGAATTGTCACCTGCCCCCATCCCGCCCCAGGGCGCCAGGGCTACTTGGGAAGCTCGGGCTTTGCCAAGCGCCCCCGGCCAGGGAGAGCGGCGCAGCGGAGCCGGCGCCCCAGAAGCCGAGGGGTTACACACGTCTACGTAGAGAGGCGCACCGGACACGGTAATTAGGAGCAATTCACACGCTCTCGGGCGCACGGAAACTACTTGTCACGATGTTTTCAACGCTCCTCCTCACCCACTTTCCTCCACTCCTTCCCTGGCGCGCCCCCTCCCCTTCCCGAGGCACACAGTGGAGCTTTTGGAGTTTCGAATCTTTCGGACTCTGCAGAATGCGGGGCTCCCCGGGCGCGGGCCCGGCCAATCAGAGCGTCGTCTGCCTCCCCTGGCCAATGGCAGGCGCCACATTGTTGTCCAATTCTGTCTAATGGAGCCCTAAGGAGCAACAATAGAGCGGGCGAGCGGCTCATTGAGAGTCTGGCAGCGCCGGGCAAGTGGGCCCCGGCTGCGCGCATCGTCCCGCGCGCACCGCGAGGGGACGCAGCACTGCGAGAGCCGGGTCGCGGTTCCAACCAGCCGGCCCCTAGACTGGCCTCCGGCTCCGAATTTCTGACGGGAGGGTTGGACTGCGCTGCGTTCTGAGGGGGTCCGGAAGTTCGGACATGGTGACTGAAAGAGGGTGACGTGGTCAGATAAGGGGCCGGGGGCAAGGGGAAGAGGCCAAGAGCGCCAGAGTCGCCAGCGGAGCTGGGAGGCGTGTGCGGCGCCAGCCGAGGAGGAGGATTCCGGAGCCCAAGGCAGGTAGCTGAGGGCCGCTGGGAGAGAAGGGAGGAGACCTGGTCTGCGGCCCCTGTTGAGGAGGCCTGGGCCTAGCCGGCCTTGGGAACTGCGCGGCCCTCGGGGTCTGGGGGAAGAGTCCTAGTTCATGGAGAAGAGGTGTGGGGTTCTAGGACAGAGACCCCAGGGTTCTGTCCCGGGCTGTGACGGGGACGGGGTGGGGGTGGGGGAGCAAGGAGACCGGGTGAAAGCGGGGAGCTGGGCCTGATTAGGCCTTCTGGGGCTGTGGCGCGGGTGGGACTCTAGTGTCCGTTCATGGCCAGTTCCGAAGGCGACTCCCCTGTCTTGGTGCGGCCTACCGCGCCATCCAAGTCCCAGGAGCCCAACTCCGGGGCCAGAACGCAGGAAACTGCGCTCCAACGAGGTCCCTTGGGGCCCCAGGATGGGGAGGGCGTGTCTGACGATTCTGTCCCCAAACCCGAAGGGGAGGGGAGGGGAGGACAGTGTGAGGTGGTCACCGAAAAAGACCCCCTCCCGCAATGCCTAACTTTTCGCAGGATACTTCTTCCTCCCAGACCACTTCTCCAGACTACAACGCTAAAAACTGCACCACAGGTTTAACCCTATCCCCACCTGTAGCCTTTGCCTGCAGGTCTGTTTTCGTACACACTCTCCTCTCCCGCGGGTAGACCCTGGGTCCCAGACACTCCAAATCAGCTGTTTTCTTGCTGTTTCCCTGGCCCATCAAGCTAATCTTTGGGCTGGCTTGCCTATCCAAAGAAAGTTTCTTTGGTTGAATATTCTCTTTAATCCTTCCCAGGCCTCCTAAACTCAGCTCCACGACCATTCTCTGGAGGCCCGCACCGTGGAACTTCTAGAGTTCACATTTTTACAGGTCCCAGGACCACTGGGCCTAACTTTGCCCCTGAGTTGGATGGTTGTTTCCTAACCCTCACTCCACTTCCTAAAGCTATTTTTTTTCTGTTCCGGTTTTTTTCTGTTCTGATTTTTCTCCCGAACTCTCCAGCTCCCACCCGCATTAAAAACAGCCACCAAACAAACACACAAAATCCCGGCACAACCAGCTCAACTCTGTGCCCAACATCTCTCTCCTTCTCTTCGCCCTTCCACCAACCCGAAAGTTTTGTTCCGGGTTTTCCTGTTTTGCCCTTGGCATTAGCCTAACTGTCGGGCCAAAATTTTCTCTCTAATCCGAGTCCCGTCGAGCAAACATTTCTCTTACCCATCTCGCCCCAATTAAGCTAAGCTTTTGGGGTAATATAATATTTTCTATTTCAAATCCTCGTTACATCCACCTGAACCTGTGACTTTCAAACTTTATATATGTCTTTTTTATTTTTTCCAGCGGAACCACTGATTCAAACGAAATCTTACACCTGGCGCATATCAGATATAAGAGCAGCTGTGGTGGGACTGGGGTGGAGGAGCTCGGACTCACGAGGAGGTTCCGATTGCACCTTCTCCCAACAATTTGGCAACCGCTAGCCAAACTTCTGCGGCCAAAATTTCTAAGTGTGGGTTCTTCGAGGCTGCGCTTTAGCCGAGCGCACGGTGTGCCCCTCACCCGGTCTCTCCCCCTTTCCCACCTTCCACGTCAGGTCCTGCCATGGAGCTGCGCTCCGAGCTGCCCAGCGTGCCTGGCGCGGCGACAGCGGCGGCGACAGCGACGGGGCCGCCTGTGGCGTCAGTGGCGTCGGTGGCGGCGGCCGCCGCAGCGGCTGCGTCGCTACCAGTGAGCGTGGCGGGCGGCTTGCTGAGGGCCCCGCCGCTGCTGTTGCGGGCGGCCGAGAAGTACCCGCGGACTCCGAAGTGCGCGCGCTGCCGCAACCATGGCGTTGTGTCGGCGCTCAAGGGCCACAAGCGCTACTGTCGCTGGAAGGACTGCCTGTGCGCCAAGTGCACGCTCATCGCGGAGCGCCAGCGCGTCATGGCGGCGCAGGTGGCGCTGCGCAGGCAGCAGGCGCAGGAGGAGAACGAGGCGCGCGAGCTGCAGCTGCTCTACGGCACTGCCGAGGGCCTGGCGCTGGCGGCCGCGAACGGCATCATCCCACCACGGCCAGCCTACGAGGTCTTTGGCTCTGTGTGCGCCGCTGACGGCGGGGGCCCGGGAGCCGGAGCGCCCGCGGGGACCGGAGGCAGCGCAGCGGGCGCAGGGGGCGCAGGTGAGAGCCCGGTCGAGCCGTGGGGAGGGGAGCTGGGTCAGAGCCCTGGGGCGCGCGGCCCAGGGACTTGTTTCTGTACAGAAGGAGTAGGAGAGTAGAATCTCCTCCAAACGCCCCGATTGCTGAAGTTCGCCTCTCACCCGGCCCCTGATACTGAGCATTGACAAAATTTTTCTCTCCTTTTTGGAGCATTTGCACTTTACTCCTTTCTCTTACTGCGGGACCAAATGTAGATGACTTTAATCGTACTCTCTATCTAAATGCAGGCAGGTCCCTGCTTCCTTGCTCACTTCGTTTCATCTGCTCCCCAGCGTGGAACCCCGTGCGTCCTATCTTTTCCTTCACTCTGCGCTTCTCCACACACCGCCTTTCCCTTCATTCCTTTCCAACTCTCTTCAGAAATTCTGTCCCCCCAGCGCCCAACCCCGTCCGCACTACTTTCCCTAGGTACTGGGGACGCTCTCATTCTTGTTCCCTGGACAGCCGCATGCTGTGCCCTCCCTGTTTCTAGCTTCTTTTACCCGCTCATCCTGGTTTTATCAGAGTACGAACTCTCCTGCTTGCCTAGATCCCCTTTCCTCTTCCCTGTCTACTCCTGGCCTAGCCCCACCTTCTCCTTCTGGACTCCCGTGGCTCTTTCTGGGTAGGGCTCTCAAACCTCTTAGGTCTCAATTTTGGAAAAGGTGAATTAGAAATAGGAGTTCTACTTCTGTAGAGAGGTTTGGGACTTCCTAGATACTCAAGGAGCCTTTCCTTACAAGTTAGGCTGCCCAGGGCAGGGTTGGCTCTTGGAATCACAGGTGTGGAGTGGGCTCTTCTAGTACGCGGTATAGGTAGAAGTTATATCGGCTCCTGCTTGAACCCTGGGCCCGGCCACTTCTCCAGGGCAGGGCAGGACTGGAAGGAGGTTAAGGGTGGAGGTGTCGGGGCACAGATGTGGGAAGAGCAGCACTGGACATTGAGTTTCCAGGGTGGCACGAGTGGTCTGGGTTCTGAGTATAGAACAAGAGGGAGCCCTGGGGTCAGGGGAAGAGAGACTGGGCTGTACGGGCTCAGAGAGGAAGGAATGCTGGAGCAAAAAGAAAGGGGCACTGGAGTCCCTCGGATTGAATGAGGTTGTGGGGCTCAGAGGGAGAGGAAACTAAGATCCAAAGGACTGAGTTGCTGTGGGTGCTGTCTTCTCGTCAACTGCTCCTCACATCCCCTTTTCTCCCATCCCAGAGGCCAAGTTGCAGAAGTTTGACCTGTTCCCCAAGACGCTGCTCCAGGCAGGCCGCACGGGCAGCCCGCAGCCGCCTCCCGTGAAGCCCTTATCACCCGACGGCGCAGATTCGGGTCCCGGGACGTCGTCCCCGGAGGTGCGGCCCGGCTCAGGCTCAGAGAATGGCGACGGCGAGTCCTTTTCGGGGTCGCCCCTGGCCCGGGCCTCAAAGGAGGCAGGTGGCAGCTGCCCAGGCAGTGCTGGGCCTGGAGGTGGCGGAGGCGAGGAGGACAGCCCGGGCTCCGCTAGCCCTCTGGGCTCTGAATCCGGTTCGGAGGCTGACAAAGAAGAGGCTGAGGCCGCGCCGGCGCCAGGGCTAGGCGGAGGCCCGGGTCAACGGCAGCGGACGCCGCTGGACATCTTGACGCGCGTCTTCCCAGGCCACCGGCGAGGCGTCCTGGAGCTGGTGTTGCAGGGCTGCGGCGGCGACGTGGTGCAGGCTATAGAGCAGGTGCTGAACCACCACCGCGGAGGCCTGGCGGCCGGCCTGGGCCCTGCCACGACCCCGGATAAGGCTGCCGTGGGTGCAGCAGCAGCTGCCGAGGACGCGTGGCCGGGCCGGGTCGAAGCCGCCGCCGCAGGGGGCCCGGGGCTGCCCGCGCCGCTGCAGGCTGGGCCCGCCGCGCCCCCGCACCACAGACCCTTGCTGGCGGGCGCCATGGCGCCGGGGGCGCTGGGCTCCCTGAGCAGCCGCTCGGCCTTCTCGCCACTGCAGCCCAACGCCAGTCACTTCGGCGCGGATGCAGGCGCCTACCCACTGGGCGCGCCGCTCGGCCTCAGCCCGCTGCGCCTGGCCTACTCCGCGGCGGCGGCGCACAGCCGCGGCCTGGCCTTCATGGCGCCCTACTCCACCGCCGGCCTGGTGCCCACGCTCGGCTTCCGCCCGCCCATGGACTACGCCTTCAGCGATCTCATGCGCGACCGCTCGGCCGCTGCCGCCGCGGCGGTGCACAAGGAGCCGGCCTACGGCGGCGGCCTGTACGGGCCTATGGTCAATGGCGCCCCTGAGAAGCAGTAAGGCGAGGGGCCTGGCAGCCGGGCGGCCCCCAAACAGGAACCCCAGACTTGTCCCCGCTGGGCCCTCTTCGCTCAGCGCGCTCTCTGCGGCCTGGCTAGGGGTCCTCCTATTTCAAGGTGGCTTTTGTTTTTGTTTTGGAGGGTGTGTGGGGAGGGCTGAGCAAAGGGGGAACAGCTACAGGTGCAGGTGTGTTCGGAGAGGGTGCGTGGCCTGGATCCTCCTGCTCCGTGCCCTACCCCCTCTCCGCAGTCCCCCAGCCCCCTTTTCAAAAGGCTGGGAACTCACGTGAATTCAGAGGCTGCGACCGCAGCGCACGCTCTTGGGGCTCCTTTAGCTACACTCCTCCCGCCCGCCTGCGCTCATGGATGGCAGGGTAATCCGAGAGTCTCTTCTGTGTCTCCCCAGATCCCCTTTTAAAAATTTTAAATATTCGCTCTAACAAATATAAATTTAGGATGTATAAATCTCTTGGCACTGAGTCGAGTCTTTGGGACACACATATATATCGATATCAATTGTAAAAAAAAAGGAAACAAGTTCTAAGGTGCACTTTCCTCGTTGCGGTATTTGTCGCTCTTTGTTGCTTATGCCAATAAGCATGGGTTTCCTTGGTGCAGTGTGAGTTTTTATATATGTATAAATCTATATATAATCTATACATATATATATACAAGCCAGTGTATAATGTTATAAAATGGAATTCTAAGTTATTAATTGTAATCTGTAGGTGACCTCGGTATTAACGTGAAAAACATTCAAAAACAAGACAAAATTGAAAAAAAAATTAGACTATGCGCGCATTGTACTTATCAGGTTTATAGATTAAATATATTGTAAACTCGGGACGAATCCTGCCCACCTGCCCCTCAAGCCTGCGGCCGATCTCTCCCTAAGGAGCCGTCAAGGTGCGCGCTGAAGCAGGAACAGAGCGACTGAGCCAGAACCGCCCGCTTGCGGGCCCATCCTCGCCTCCTGGGACTCGCCAAACGCCCTGGCTGAAGGGCCGGCAGCAGAAGACGCTGCTGCAGAGCAGCACTTTGTGCTTTTCTTTGCATAGATATGAGCTAGAAATAAATGTTATTTTCTAAGAAAACAACACGAATCCCGTCCCGCCCCTCGAGCTGCCGGGAGGAAAGGTCTGGATTTCCCAGTTGGGATTTGACCGCGGTCCCGCAGGTGGTCAACCCTTGGGGGTACTAGGGAAGGAAACTTCTGTGGAGCCCCAGACACCGGAGCGGCGAGCGGCTCTGAGCTCTTGGAGGAGCGACGCCCCCTGCATACCCCCAGGTTGGGCGCGCGGGCTGCGGAGGGGTGGCCTTGCAGGTTCTCTCTGTCCCCGGATTTCGGGCTGAGACTTCACAGGGACTGGGCAAAGCTGGCGCCCCAGTTCCCGCTCCCCGGAAGGAAGGAGGTCGCAGATTTGGGCACAGCCGTGGTCCAACCGTGCGAGAGCTTTCCTTCTCAGAGGGGTTTGGAACCGTAAGCAGTGGAGGCGACCGCTGGGGAGGGGTAGCTGCTACAGTTCTCCCACCGAGACCTGAGGCCTGCGAGTAATTTTGGGGTGGTGGGGGTGGCGGGTGGTGCCTTCGCCCAAAGCAGTGTAATCCGATAGTGGCCGTGAGGATGCGCCTTCCAGCCAGACCTCAGCCCTCACCCTTTTCACCTTCTCTCCTTACTCAGAGCTGAGCAAATTAGCTGGTCCTGGGCCGACCCCCTCCTCCAGCCTCTCGTCCCTCCCGCTCCCCGCACGGTGACTCCCCCTCTCCAGGAAAAACAGTGCCTCCTCCCCTTGGCTAGGCCCGACGATATCCCAAGGTAAACTTCTGGGGCCCGCTCGAGTTCCGCCAGGCGGTGAAACTTAATAGCAGGACAAGAAAACGGTTTAATAAAGAAGGGCTTTAATAGGGAACTAATTTGATTGAGTTGCCTAATTCCACTTTAATTGGAAAGGGGGTTTGGCTGTTTGGTTATAAAGTGCGAGGGTGAAGATGAGATGGAAGTGGGGGGAGAAGGAGCGACAGAAGAAAGATACAAGAGAGACCGGTCGCGAAAGGGAGTGAAGATGGGAAGGAAAGGAGAGAGAGAGAAGAGACAGAAAAGAGAGAACAGTTAGGAAGAAATGAAGGCGGGAGACAGCGCGAGGGAGCTGGTAGAAGTGTGAACTTTCTTGTCCTTCGCTGCTGCTTCCAGCGTGCTCCCCCCACTCCAGGTTTTCGGAGGCCTCGCTCGGCCAGGCGGTTCTGGCCGCCCCATCCCGGGCCTCTGCTCCCGAGATGAAGCTAAGATTGGTCTGGGTCCCTTGGTTTCGGGATGGACCTACACTGGGTCCCCAGAGGCAACTCTGTCCCTGACTGTGCTCAGACCAGACCCGAGGGGGTGGCCTGTGGGCTTGCTTTGCTAATTCTGAAAAACATCTGGAGCTTCATAGATTTCAAAATTATTATTTTTAGAGTTTGTCACCCAGGCCGGAGTGCAGTGGAGCGATCGTAGCTCACTGAAACCTCAAACCCCTGGGCTCAAGCGATCCTCCCACCTCAGCCTCCGGAGTAACTGGGACTACAGGAGCTGCACCACCACACCCCGCTAATTTTTAAATTTTTCACAGAGACAGAGTCTCTCTATGTAGCTCAGACTGGTCTCAAACTCCTGGCCTCAAGCAATCCTTGGCCTCCCAAAGTGCTGGGATTGTAGGCAAGAGCCACCCCACACAGCCAGATTTCAAGATTATTATTTAGGGTTATCCTCACAGCAAACTGGGGAGAATCCAGAGAGTTATTACTAACCCCACTTTATAGAGGAAGAAACCGAGTTCCAAAGCGGTTCAGGGACTTGTGTAACCATCCAGGCAGCCTGGATCTATCTCCTTGCCTCTGCACCTCCGCCCCCCTTCTCCTCCTCCTCTGATGAGGCTGTCTTTGCTGGCCTAGAAGGGCCTTCGCGAACATATGAGGCCCAGATCCCCGCGCTGTCAGCATCTTCCGCAGAGCTGGGGAGTGGTTCGTGAGCGGTGGGAGTTTGGGGTGGGGTAGTGGGGTTTCCAAGTCCCTTTCTTCCTGGGTCCTGCACCTTTGTGGTCCAGGCCTTGCGATGGAAGCCCAGGGCTGGCGCCTGGCAAAGTCCTTTGCCCAAGGCGCGCCCTGACCCACTGCCCACAGTCAGAAAGAGCGAGGCGCAGAGCCCCGCAGTGACCTGCCCAGGGTCTCACATACTGGGCCCGAGGTGTGGAATCCGAACCCAGCACGCTCCGGCGGGTTGCTAGGTGGCGGTGGGGGTGGGGCGAGGCGCGTGAGTAGGCGTCGCCGGCTCTGGGAGCTTCTGCAGCTGGCGGGAGGGGACTGCGCCCCAGCTCTCGCCTGGGCTCCGCGCTGGGAGGAGTGTGGCGTCCCCGTCGCCGTTGCGCTTGCACCCAGGAGGGAGAGGGCAGCGGCTGCAGGCCGCCGAGAGGGGAACGGGAAACCGGCGTTCTCTTCCTGACCTCCGCTGTCCACGTTTATTCCCGAATTTCCCCCGGAGCCAGCTGGAGCCGGCCCTGGCATGGGCACTGGGAGGACTCGGACACGGACAGGGGCCGCCCCGAGGAGACAGAGTCAAGGAGGAAGCAGTTTTAAAATTATTTTCTTTCTCTTCCTTGACCCTGTCCCTCTCCTTCTCCCTCCTCCCACTGCACAGCAGCAGCAGCAGATACCCACTATTGAGCGCCTACTGTGTGCCAGGTCCTGTCCTAAGCATGTTCCCTACCAGAATCCTGCTCACTGGGTGAAAAAGAGCCAAGAGCTGGGTCCAGGCTCTGTCACTGGCTAGCGCTGTGCATTCAGGGATTACTAGTCAGCTAATACTCACTAAGTACTTACAGTATGTCAGGCCCAGTTGTAGGACCTTGGGACACACAAGTGCGTGACAGGCGCCCTCCCTGCCCTCGCAGCGTTTGGGGAGGGAGGGGCAGCAACTGAGCGTGGGAGGCGGTGCGCTCATCCGTGCCGGGCTCGAGGTCTGCCCGCGGGAGAGGTGAGTTAGGCAAGGCACTTAACCTGGGTTTCCTCTTCAATCAAATGGTGCTAATAGTAGTGTCATTCTCTCTGGGTGCCCTGAGGATTAAATGGAATAACGTGTAAAAAGCTCTTAGCTCAGTGCTTGCCCACTAGGTGTTCACTATTACAATTCTCATACCCTTTGGTGTGAGTATTGTCCCATTTAACAAAGGAGTAAACAGCTCAGAGGGACTGAGTGACTGGAGCAAGTTGGGTTTGTAAACCATCTAAAGTGTTACAGATTATGGGAGACACCCTGCCCAGAGCGAGGGGCCACAGAGACAGATGGGAGAGTGTGGCTCTGCAAATGCCTCTGAGAGGAAGTGAGGCTGCAGCTGAGTCCTGAGGGGTTGGTGCAAGTTGGTGGACCAGCAGGCAGAAAGGGAGGAGGTGGGGACAGGCTGTTGGACAGAGGTCAGACCAGGGAGAACCTCGAGTGCCAGAGAAAGAGGCCTGGGTTTTTGGAACAAGAGTACTAGGAGCTGGGGACAGCCTTACCTGGTGAGATTTGTGTTTGGATTTGGCAGATTATTAGGAGAAAGGACAAAGGCCTCTGAGGAGGAGCCATAAAAAATGGTAGTGTCAAAAAGTGACCAGTGGGAGTATGGAGAGGAAAGAGGTCGCTTCAAGAACCGCTGGGAGCCAGTGTGGGCGTAAGTGGGGAGCAAGGCTCCTGGCTAATTCCCCAGGTGTCTGGGCTGGGATGGCAGTTAGAGATATATGGGTCCCTGGAGCAGAGACAAGATTAGAGGGTGTGGAAAAGGTTCAGTGTTCAATATATAGAGACTGAGGGACTTATAGGGCCTCTAAATGTGGACACCAAATGGCAGAAAAAGTCATCATGCAGAAGGCAGCAGGGCCATGGGAGGGATGAGGCGGCCCTCACGCCAAGGTGGAGGCCAGGAGCTGGGAAGGTATTGAGAGCCCAGATGTTGGGGTTCTGCCTCCCCTCTCACCATTTCTGTTGGTGCCAAGAGGACTGGCCTCTTAAATCATTCTCTTAAAATTGTGCACCCTGTTATGGTCATTTTTCTGGGGTAGGCAACCTGTTCATGGTTTATTGTGATATCAATGAACTTTAAATTTCAGGGCTCCCAACCTATTCAAGTATCTTTCAACCTGTCCTCTATCCCCATTTGTCCATCCCCAAGTCCCCTCTTCCTCCTTCTCCTCTTCCTTCTCTTCTCCTCCTCCCTTCCTCTCCCCCAATGTATCTCAGGAATAGCTGGAACCAGGTGCTCAAACACCATTCAATTGAGCTGCTTTTCTCCATCTCTTAGATCAGGTGTACTCCAAGTTGTCTTCAGTCAGGCAGGCTTCTCCAAATGAAGGGCAGATGGCCACCAGTGGCCTCAGGCTCATGTTCTACTTTCTCTCCCAGTAGTTAAAACATCGCGGAGCTGAATCATTGACTAGACTTTTGTCACTTTTCCAACCCAGAACCAATCTCATGACTGCATGGTTGGGCCTAATTCATGGCCTCACCCCTGAAGTGGGACAGGAGGCTGCTTAGCCCAAACAAGCCACAAAAACAGTGAAGGGGGTAGATGGTTCCCCCAAAGGAAAACTGGGTGCAGGAAAGGGGGATGGATACAGAGCAGGCTTCACCTGCTCCTATGTCCTCCCTGAAACCAATCCTCAGAGACCCAGGCTTCCACAAGGAAACGGGCCTGCTGGAAAACCAAGCTTTCAAGAGAGCTGAATGTTTGCCCATTTCAGCCCTAAATAGTCTTTGTTTTAGCATTTTCATGTAGATGCTTTATAAAGATGTTACTTGCTTTTCCATTTTCTTTTCCAAGGAATTCTGCAGTGCTCCAGGCATGCTTTGGTTCAGAGTCATCCTCATGAAATGCCATAACAAGGTCGTGGGACCTTATTCAAGTGTTTGAGTGAGTGCTTGGCAGTACTGGCACTAAGAGACTCAATATTTCAGGGCTTTTAAAAAAAATACTTTGAGACAGGATCTTGCTTTGTTACCTGGGCTAGAATGCAGTGGTGTCAGTACAGCTCACTGCAACCTCACACTCCTGTGCTCAAATGGCCCTCCTGCCTCAGCCTCCTGAGT